TGGGCTTGACCGCGCGTGAATAACAGCTAATTAATTAGGTTAATCGTGGGTCAATTAACTCGAAACTCACAGTGATTATAGCTAAGACATGTATCATCAAGCATGTAGAATTCTAGAAACGTAACTCATATAGATCGCGAGATATGATAGGTAAATACACTTTTCTACCGGCTAATTAAACCCGTACTACAAGCCTGTATAAGCCTAATGGGCTTGACCGCGCGTGCATATTTGCTAATTAATTAGGTTAATCGTGGGTCAATTAACTCGAAACTCACAGTGATTATTTCTAAGACCTGTATCATTATGCATGTAGAATTCTAGAAACGTAACTCATACAGTTTGCGAGATATGATAGGTAAATACACTTTCCTACCGGTTATATAAACCCGTACTACAGGCCTGTATACGCCTATGGGCTTGACCGCGCGTGAATAACAGCTAATTAATTAGGTTAATCGTGGGTCAATTAACTTGAAACTTACAGTGATTATAGCTAAGACATGTATCATTAGGCATGTAGAATTCTAGAAACGTATCTCATATAGATCGCGAGATATGATAGGTAAATACACTTTTCTACCGGCTAAACCCGTACTACAGGCCTGTATACGCCTATCGGCTTGACCGCGCGTGAATAACAGCTAATTAATTAGGTTAATCGTGGGTCAATTAACCAGGGTCAATTAATCGTGGGTCATTTATCTCAGCGCGGTTAGATACAATGGCGTTACGTATGTTAACAATGCGTGCGGGCCTGTAGCAACACTTTGGCAGCGTTCCAAAACGACCCGTGCATCTAATTTCTCCCCGTCCCGTTGAACTACTAAACGTTTTATAACACAAAGTACATTAAAATACTGTAAATACACTATACTTTCTAAATTCTATTGAAACTTTTTGGTCTCTACAGATTAACAGCTTGAAATTCGCCATTTTCTTAGAAAAACTCAAATAATTTAAAATTCGATTAACTAGAGGAGAAGTTTCAAACGGGAGGGCTAGACGCTATCACTTACCTTTCATTTGAGCTCAAGATCGACCTCCTCCTTG